TAAAGGAAGTCGCTGGATGCAATGGCTCATGTCTGTAATCCCAGCTCTTCGGGAGGCCGAGGCAAGAGAATTGCCTGATCCCAGGGGTTCAAGAATAGCCTGGGCAACTTGGCGAGACCTCGTCTCTATAACACACCGAAAAATTAGCCAGGCGTGGTGGTGCGTGCCTGTGGTTCCAGCTACTTGGAAGGCTGAGGCGGATGGATCGCCTGAGCCCAGCAGGTTGAGGCTGCGGTGGCTGGGAGCGTGCCATGCACTCCAGCCTAGGTGAAATAAATAATGCCTGGTTAATTTTTTGATTTATTGTAGAGATGAGATCTCGCCAAGTTGCCCAGGCTGGTCTTGAATCCATGGGCTCAGGCAACCCTCTCGCCTCTGCCTCCCAAAGTGCTGGGATTATAAGCATGAGCCACCGTGCCAAGTCTTTTGTTTTTTTTTTTGAATCAAAGTCTCATTCCATGGCCCAGCCTGGAGTACACTGTAACAATCATGGCTCACTGCAGCCTTGACCTCCTGGGCTCAGGCAATCCTTCTGCCTCAGCCTCCCAAGTAGCTGGGACTACAGGCACGCACCACCACGCCTGGCTAATTTTTCGGTTAATTTTTTTCTTTTTATTTACTTATTTATTTTTTGTAGAAATGGAGTCTTGCTGTGTTGCCCAGGCTGATCTCAAACTCCTGGGCTCAATTGATCCTCCTGCCTTGGCTGTACAAAGTGCTGTGATGACAGGCTTGAGCCACAGTGCCCAGCAGGCCATGGACTGTTCTGAGCGATTCAGAGCTTACTGCATATGGCAGTGGGCAGCCACTGTGGGTATCTGAGCTGCTGTCTAACCACTCGGGCTGGGCTTCCAGAGGACAGGGCTGGAAGCAGCAGGTAGGGCAGATTGGGTGGAGGAGGGGGCACAGGCTGCTGGCAGGGAAATCAGTTTAGGGATGACCATAAATAGCTCTGCTGTCATCACCTCCCCCACATCCCTCTCCTCCTCCTGTTTTCTGATTTCTAATAATGCATCACCATTCTTCCAGCCCAGGGATAGAAGTCTGAGTCACTCTGACTCCGCCCCTGGCCACGCCCCATGTCCTACCTGCTGCAACTCCTGCCAGCACTATCTCTTCTGTACCATATCTGGAGTCTTGACTCTCTTAGGGGTCCTGCCAGGATTCTGCCAGGCCTGCCTGGCTCAAGGACTCGGGCTTCCCTTCCCCAGGCCTGATCCCCTATGTCCCCAACCCCCTCCCCAGACCTTATTCCCTGCTTACAACACACCACAAAAAGGATGCCCTGGAGTGTTGCTTGATCAAGTGTGACTCTCACACCTCTCCCAGCTGGCCTGCCCAGTCTCCTCCCACATCTCAGATCTCCTTGAAGAGGCAGCTTTCATTTTTCTGTTTTTAATTTTTTTGAGTAGGGGTCTCACTGTTGCCCAGGCTGGAGTGCAGCAGCACGCTCGTGGCTCACAGCAGCCTCGACTGTGCCACTGCAGCCTCAGCCTCCTGGGCCCAGGCACTTCTTCTGCTTCAGCTTCTCAAGCAGCTGGGGTTACAGGTGCATGCCATCACACCCAGCTAATTTTATTTATTTATTGTAGAGAGGAGTTCTCCCTGTGTTCCCCAAGCTGGTCTCAAACTCCTGGGCTCAAGCAATCCTCATGCCTCAGCCTCCCAAAGTGCTGGAACTGCAGACATGAGCCACCATGTCTGGCCTAGAGGCAGTTTTTAAAAATTTAATTTAATTTAATTGTTTTTTTTTTTGAGTTGGAGTCTCATTCTGCCATCCAGACTGGATGCAGTGGCCGCTTCCGGCCACCACAGCCTCGACCTGCCGGGCTCCAGCGATCCTTCCGCCTCAGCCTTCCAAGTAGCTGGAACTACAGGTGTGCGCTACCATGCCTGGCTCATTTTTTGATTTATTGTAGAGATGAGGTCTCGCCAAGTTGCCCAGGTGGGTCTCGAACCCGCCAGCTCAGACAATCCACTCACCTCAGCCTCCCAAAGCATGGGTTTACAGGCTGAACCATCAAGCCCGGTTTGTAATTTAATTGTTTTAGAGCCATGGTCTGGGTCTTTCACCCGGGCTGGAGTGCAGTGATTCAATCATAACTCCCTGCAGCCTCAACCTCCTGTGCTCAAGTGATCCTCCTGCCTTGCTCTCTCAAAGTTCTGGGATTACAGGTGTGAACCACTGTACCCGGCCAAGGAGCAGTTTAAAGGTCTTTGCCTCCACTGCCCCCAACTGCTGCTGTGCTTGCCAAGGATATAAATGCTCCCTCCCTGATCCACGAGCAGGCAAAGGCCAGATCTAGAGCACAGTGAGGCCCTCATACTGCCTTTTGCTGGGCCTCTGAGACCCCAGTTCACCTTGTAGAGGATCAGGCAGGCCCCTGGGCACAGGCAGCAAGTTGCTTCATTATCACTGTTTCAGAAGTAGCAGTGTGGGTAGCTGACATGCATAACTGAATCTGGTTGTTTGGACCAGAAGGCTCCTCAGGGGTTCAGTCTCTGATTTACAGGTATGGACACTGAGGTCCAGGCATCTGATAATACCAGGCTGGCATGACAGTCAAATGCCAGAGGCTCCCATAGTCTCTACCTGTGCTTTGAGCAAGAGAATTGGGAACAGAGTGAGAGGGATAAGGTGGTTGTTCTGGGACAGGCTGGCTCAGGACCAGTCCTTTGATGGAGGCCTCAGACTTTGGTGGGGCTCAAAAGCAGCCCTCCCTGCTTGGGCCCAGTCTCCTGGATCCCAGGGTCAAAAAGTAGCCTGGCCAGGTACTGGGCAAGGGAAGCTTTGAAGTCAGTAGTTCAAGGTCACCTTGCTGGCTCAGCCCCATCTGGCAATGTTGACTGAGCGGCATCGGAGGGGAGAGCTGGGAACACAGGGCAGGAAGTTTGTTCCTATCTGAGTGAATTAGTGTGAGAGGAGGTCGGATTTTTCTAAATGAAACCCAGTCCTCAGTCAGAGTCTCATTTCAAAAATGGGTGAAGAGAGAGACTTTGGCTGTTTGTACTGGAACCAACCAGAGCTCTCTCTTGTTTGCAAGCAGGCGAATGTGGAGCTGCTTCTCCTCTTCAATGGGTTTGCTGCAGGATCTCAAAGAACAATACCCCAAGACAAGGTCCTGGAAGCAGTTCCCACCGGGCTTCTACTGCCCTTTGTTCTGGTCCCTTATTCTTCATGGAGGCTAGCTGTAGAAACTAGAATCCTTCTTCCCCAGGGCGGGTTACAGAAACAAGAACCCCTTTTCCCCAAAGTCAGTCATAAAACCTAGAAATTGTACTCTAACTCCCTGCTCCTGCCTGTCTTTTTTTTTTTTGAGTCCAGGTCTCACTCTGTCACTCAGGCTGGAGTGCAGTGGCACCATCATGGCTCACTGCAGCCTCTGACCTCGGGCTCATGCAATCCTTCTACCTCAGCCTCCTGAGTTGCTGACACCACAGATGTGCCCCCACCATGCCAGGATAATTTTAAAAATTGTTTGTAGAGAGGAGGTCCATTGTGTTGCCCAAGCTGGTCTCAAACCCCTGTGCTCGAGTGATCCTCCTGCCTTGGCCTTCCAAAGCGCTGGGATTACAGGCATGAGCCACCACACCTAGCTCCCTCCTGCCTTTTGTGTAAAAACTGCCTATATTGGCTGGGCGTGGTGGTTCAAAACCAGACCTGATCTCTACAATAAATAAAAAAATTAGCCAGGCATGGTGGAGCATACCTGTAGCTCCAGCTACTTGGAAGGCTGAGGCAGAAAAATCACCTGAGCCCAGTAGGTTGAGCGGGCAGCCTGGGTGACAGAGTGAGACTCCAATTAAAAAACAAAACAAAAAGAAAAAACTGCCCATAAAGAAATTTTTGGACCGATCTTGCCTGACTCCTGAGGGTCCTGATCCTCACCCAGAAGGAAGGAAAGCTGCACAGCGAGGCCAAGAAGAATTTAGACAGATAGACCTTGCTGGGCTTCCCGGCTCACCCTGTAGCGTTAGAGCACAGCCGTTTGGCTACTCACATTTCCACATGGCTGTGCACACGCTGCTGACTGAACCTAGCATAAGAACCAGTTTCTCCTGAATCTTTGGGTCTTCATTCTAAAGGCTCTCTGTCACAGAAAACGTGCAGGTACATGTGTGCGCCTTTCCTCTATTGATCTGCCTTTTGTCAGTGATTTCTTTCTCTCTCTCTATTTCTTCCTTCCTTCCTTCCTTCCTTCCTTCCTTCCTTCCTTCCTTCCTTCCTTCCTTCCTTCTTTTTCTTTCTGTTGGATTCTCACTGTCACCCAGGTTGGAGTGCATTGGCACACTCATGGCCACCGTAGCCTCGACCTGCTGGGCGCAGGTGATCCTTCTGTCTCCGCCTTCCAAGTAGCTGGAACCACGGGTGTGCGCCACGACGCCCAGCTAATTTTTTGATTTTTTTTTTGTAGAGACGAGGTCTCTCCATGTTGCCCAAGTTGGTCTGGACTCCCCCGGATTCAGGCAATCCTCTCTCTTCGGCCTCCCAAAGTGCTGGGATTACAGGTTTGAGCCACTGCATCCGGCTTGTGAGTGATTTAATCAGGTCCTCAGAGGGCGATCGGCCGTCTCCCTCCCTTCTGATCCCAGTCCCGCAATCTAAATGTGATAACGCGGTCGTGGCTGTTGAGCCCAGGTGGCCCTAAGCTCCCTCTACACAACTTTGTCCCAACACCCTGGCGGCGGTGCTCTTGCTGTAACCTCTATCTGGCACAGGAGCCTCCGGACTCTGGCTATGCTATGGGGCTTCAAGGACTGGCAGAGTGACCCAGTGGGATTCCGACTCTCGACTCTGGTCCGTCAACCCCCGTTGGACCCGACGGCCTACCGGAGGGGACTGGAGCTCAGGAATTCGGACCCCACGCAGGTGGAGCGCACCGGGGAGGGTCGGCCCGGCGGACACGCGGGGCGCAGGGGTGTGCGCGGATCCGTCCGGGGTGTCCAGCCACCGACTCGCGGTGCCCGCCCC